CGTCTCTATGAGGTCCCAAAATCTCATCCATGAACTTCCCTCTCTTCCTTCCTCCAGCTTTTCTAGTTCAAACAGCACACTGTAGACAGCACACTGTCTACAAAGGCTATAACCTGCTGATGGCGCAGTCAATTGCACCAGAAAAACAGTTACATTACCTGTGTATTAGAGCAATTGCACCCAGTAAGAAGAAATTAAGAAACTACAAGACACTTATGTTCATCTCCTTCTACTGTATTTTCAACAAAAGCCTTTTCTATATCTAGTTTCTTTCTTCCCCGAAAGACATAAGGTAACCATCTATTCACAACTTCCCTTCACGACAAGATCTTTTGGCTTCCACTCTGGTAACTTCAGACTGAATGAGAAACTGTCTGAGGCAGATCTTGCCAGGAACTAGTTTTACAGAAAGTTGAGTTTTCATTTACATTACCTCAGAGTCAAGGCACACAAGATATCACTGACAGGATCTCAAAATCTAAATGGATTTCTGCATTTGTCCAATTGAAAACAGCTAACTACCCTGTCCTGACAGTTCTCATAAGGGTGGGAGGAACAGGGGAAAGTGGATTTGCTTTTAAATATGGGAAGTTTCAAATGAATACTGCCACGCAAATATTGCGGAAACTTTAGTATACAGCTGAGATTGAATTATTATTTAACTAGCTTGTATAGTCATCACTGATCAATATATATTTTTTGGAAAGGCCCTACAGCTTAAACTGAGCTGTTGCATTGGATTTAAGTACAAGATCCTTTTACAAGTATAGTGAATCAATAGTGTAGTTGCCGGAGGGGTATTAGATGGAAATACTATATTGTTTTTGTAACTATCAAGCTCTAAAAGAAATTTAGCACAACTCTAAGATTCATGCTCTATTTCAAAGCCCACATCACCACAGCTATAACGTGCACAGGCATTCCAGCTAGATTTTCATGGGGGTAAACAAAAGAATTGCTGGCAAAGCGTGTCGCAAAATGGCTTCCGCTTTCTGGCAAAACGCATACCATTTTGGTCCACAGCAATTTTTGACAGACATTCGAGAGCAAAAATTTCTCAGAAGAAGGTTCAAGTGGAAAGTAGTACCAGAAGACTGTATAAAGAAATTGGTTTACGATTACACATTGCAAGGGCTGTTGTCTGTTTTCTCCACCCCACTCCACACCTGACAAAAGAAAAAAATCTGTAAATTAACTATAAAAATAATAATTTGAGCTATCAGAATACTCAAAAATCAGCCTTCCACACTAAGAAAACACTAGTAATTTCCACAACCCAAACCTACTCCTAGTGATAGAAATGATTTGACAGATACGTGTTTGAAGCTTCCTCTTAAGGAACACACTGCCTAGTTGTACTATTTGCACTACCAACAACATTTCTTGCTCTATCAGCTCATTCTCCAGAACAATAAACACCCCTCTGAGGATTTCTTTTTCCCACAGGAACTAGCACAATTTCCAGTCCCTATTCATAAAATAACAAAGTTGTTGCAAGCATAGAAGATTTCTTAATATCTCCACCTTTTGTTAGAAGAGCATGCAGACCTTTCAGTTCGTACCTATCACTGTCCTGGAAAGTAACACCTGTGAGGGCTGGGGAGGACAGAGTGGGGATAAAATAGCAGTAACAAATGTAAGCAAACTACAAATATACATTCTGAATTTCACACAAGTAGAGCAGCAGTGTGATGCAACTATGAAAATCACGACCATTTATACAGCGTTAGCACTTTCTAGCAAATTCAGATCTATGCATCCACCCTTCCTCCTCCTTGTTCTGTGTTAGTAGTAGAGAGAATGAAGACAAACAATAAGTACTTTGTAGCTACAGAACCTGTCAGGTAGAACTGGTGTCATATACTAAAATCACTACAAAACGTTGCTTTCTACAAGTACAGTTTATTCATTAGAGTTCCTAGCATACACAGAGGAACGAGAAGCCTCATCTAGAGCCCACCTACTGAGATGCAATGCTCTATGAACCCTAGGTCAGGAAAAAAAAAAAAAAAAATGAAGTGCTGAAATTAATGACCAACTAAAATGTTAGCTCCTGTAATTTTTATAAAAAATTCTTCCGAAAAAAAAACTTTTGCTATTAACAATCAGCGCCACAATCTACAAAAACACAGATGAAATTTTAATTAAACAAAAATATATTTACATAAAGAGATTTTTATATTCTCATTAGTTACAAAGCAAAAAGCAGAAATTCACATTTCCTAAGCAATGAATTCTCAATCGTCATTAGTAAGTTTATATTTCGTCAACACCTCAAGCAAAACTACAGCTTTCAATTTCAGTGCTGCTCAGCTGATACATTTACAGAAAAGACATATTTGGGTAGCTGGAAAACATTCAACTTAATTGCTAACTGAATAATGGAAAAGCTAATAAGGACATTTCAGTTCTTCAGGCTTGAAATCATTCTGGTTGTAAGCAGAATAGGCAAATGTTCCAAATAGTCAACATCAGTAAAACTCAGCTCATTTGGAGATAAATTCTCAGGAACTTCTATACAAACTAAATAGTTTTCATGGACCACTTGTGCATAAAATGAAGCAATTTTCTCCCCCTTCTCCCCTTTTAAAATAAAGTTAGGAAATGCAGTACATAGTAGAGCTATGACATTTTTAAAATTAATTCTACCAAAAAATGGTTTTGCAGCTAAACAACTTGGGTTAGCACTGAATTTTAATAACGTTGAGTGTATATATGGTTATTGCACATTTTCCACATAGGGAAGCCTACAATTTAAGAAAAAAAATAATATTTTTTGTAGAGAAGATCACAGAAACTAACCAATGAACTAAAACTTTTGAGTAAAAACTTGAAATCAACAGCAAAACCACCAGCAACCTCAATGAGTCTAAAATTAGAAGCTTTGTTTATAAACTAAAAAAACCACATTTCTACTCTGATGAAGTTTGTTTCGTCTTTTGGGTACAAAGCAGCTTCAATTTGTTAAAAATGAAAAGGGGGGGGGTAAGTATATAACAAATAAAGATGATGGGAAAAATCAAATAAAAATCCTGTTCTTGATTTCTGAATAGAAACAATTTTGCTAACCATTGAATTCTTCTAGCTACAATACTACTACTTGAAGGACATGAACAACACTGGCTGTTGGAAGAAAAACAGAAGTTTTATTAGTAAAAGACTCACCGAGAAGGGCAGACATGTTCTGAAATATTCTCAGGAGCTCAGGTGTAAGACACGGGCTATTCTCCAATGTTACTAACCTAGGAACAGATTATGTGAAATTAGATGACCTACAAATAATAGAGAGTAATAATTTTGACAGATGTAAAACACTGTAAACTCCTATATAAACAATGTATATAACCCTCAAATAAATAGTAACAACTGCTTGAAGCACATTTCAAGTTATAATGTGACCATTAGTATAGGCATGGGCCTTGCTAACATAAAAAAAAATGTTTTCACACTACTAAAAACAAGGTATCCTCAAAAATGCAGCAGAGGGAATGTTTAAGGATCCAAGTTTAGCAACCAAAGCAGAACACAAATAAGGTGGGTAGAGACTATTCAATATATAGGGACAACACTTGGAGCATTCGAGACCTCCAAGGAGCTGTGGCAGTCAAATGGCCATATGCTCAGCACTACATGTATCAATTTACAATTCCTGTAGTTTGAAAAACACTAAATATAAACAAAGTGCTTATGTTTAGAAAAACAAAACCAAAAAAAACAACAAAAAACACACCACACACACAAAAACGCTACCACCACATTCCAGTTTGTTCCCAGAGCTTAGGTGTAGGATTATGGTATCTAAGTAACATTTTAAGTGATGTAAATTATCTCAACTGGCCTCCAGCTGCTTTTTCAGGAAGCAGTTAGAGTCCTGTAAGTCCTGGCCATGTCTGCCAGCTCCATCCTGATGCTCCAGGAAATCTTTAAAGAAAAAAAGCATATATACACTCTTCTGCACAGGCATCTGAATAACTCCCTCAAGATCAGATCAATATAAATACTGAATATAACAGAATATAAAAGCTGTGAACTGATACACTAAAAAGGTCCCTAGCTTAAATGTTTTCAAGATCTCACACTTCAAAGTAGCTCCCCCACTAGCAAAAGCCTTTTAAATCTTAGTTTTGCTTCAGGAAAAAACAGAGCATTTGCAGGCTAAGTATCTGTAATTCAAATGCCTATCTACAATCTAGAGCAAAGGAATCCCTCCCTGTTTCAAGATGAGCTCAATATACACCTATTTGCAGGAAAGAAACATACTGGATGTCTGAATAACTGTTTGATTCCTTGTAGAGTTTCAGCTGCACCACAAACATAAGCAAATTAACCTCATGATAGATGGATCACATTTCCACTCGCTATTTTAGTTCAGTCATCAGACAGCTTGCATTTTGGAAGATAACTTCTTCAGTATTTCACTCTAAAATTCACATCTCTTCCAGGATCCAGCTCTGAGAATCAACGGGTTATTGTGCTCTCAAAGTATGCAAAATTGTTAGCTTAACACTAACATTGTAGTGACTCTAGACTTTTCACCTTGCTGTTCATTATCAAAACAAAATTGTATTTTGTTAGCAATTGCCTGCAAATGGATTTCCTACTCAGCTGGTTAATTCCAATTGTGTTTCTTTTGTTAACTTCCTAACCACACCCCTTATGAGAAAAGGTATGAAATAAATGATGTTAGAGTGAGATAACTAGAATATATAAGCGCTTAATACAGTCAAAGCTTTTGTTAAATCATTTTGTTCTTTCCTGGGGATAAAAATAAGTTTTAAAATAGAATTTGATGAAGAACACTCTTACCACAATTCTAAACCATCTTCCAGAAGATAGACATGCGGAGGCTGGGAAACATCTGTACTTAGCTGAATAACTGGAAGTAGAAACGGATAGAGATTTTTGCTGTCTGCCCCCAGTCCCTATAAAAATAAATAAGAATTTTAAAACACTTAAGAAAAACTTTCAAAAAGTATTTCAAGAATAGCACTGATAAAAGATCTATGATACTGTTCTAGTTACATACTGTAAACCTGCACGCAAGAAAACAAACGTTGCATTACATCCATTTTACACAAAATGAGAGCATTTACAGTTTGATACTCCTTAACTTTCAACAAGTCTTGAGAAAGATTACTTCAGCTTTTGGATAAAAAGAAGCTTATCAACAACCTGCAAGGAAAAATCATAAACACCACATTCCTAAAACATTCTCTGGTTGTTTTCTTTCTAGGAAAAGTCACAACTCCAATAAATACTAAATGTTGAATAAAAAGTGGTAAAGATTGAAGGGAAAAAAAATTACTCTTTGGACATTTTACCATCCTAAATCTTCTGACACGCTCTAAGAATCAGGAGAAGGGTTTGCATTTTTTCTTAACAAAGATTCATATACTGGTGACAGTCTTTTAAAAAAAAAAAAAAAGAAAAAAGAAAAAGTGATCAGTGAGTCTGAGCTACAGAAAGATATCTACCCAGGGATACAAGGTAGAATTTTTTCAACAATCATTTAATAATTAAATATAACTAATTTGTAAACATAAGGTAAAGTAATTTTGTTGAAACTAATAATGAATTAAAATTAACCTTACAAAGACTAGAATGATCACGTTAGAAACAACTGGTTATATTGTGACATTACCACCCAAGTGAAATGAGGATAGATGAAGCAAGAACTCTGCTTTTGCACAATTACTATTTTTGGAATCATTGAAGTTTTAAATTATTTAACATTTCTCAGCTAAGACTTCTTCCTGGAATAATTTTTACATGCCTCTAAGTATGTAGCCTGAATTGCTGAACGCTCTTCTTGGACGGAGCTTTGGTGAAAGGGCTGGGGCACGTAAAAACAGAAATTCTTTTCAACCTGTTTTCTGGATTATATACTCTCAGCCAATTGACTCTTTTAAAGCAGAGTATCTCTAGATCTTGATAAAACATGCCCAAGAGGCTGTAACCAATGTAAGTATGTAAGTACGTACTTGCTACCTTTATCACTAAAGTCTCTCTAAGAAAATATCTTTAACATCAGGGAACAAAACATAATGATATTTAAAATCCAGACTCTAAGTGTGATCTAGAGAATTAGTGACTGGGAAGTCCATAACTGACACACTAGCTGAAACCACAATTATAAATCCAGTGATAAAACACAGAAGATCATAAATAACATATCTCACGTGACTTTTTCTTGCAGGAACTAAGAACACATAAAATCCAAACATACTGGATCAGACAGAAAATTCAACCAACTAGCTTCTAGCAGTCAGTCACTTAAAGTTTCCTGAACTGAGGAGGTATGCAGAGTCTCCAAAGAACTGGTCTTCTATGAATTTGACTGACTTCTTTTGATTGATTTTCTACAATGGTCAGTAACTATAAGCTTCATAGTTTGTATATTGTGAAAAAGAACTTTCTCGTTGTTTGGACTTAATGTACTTCTAATGGAACCCCACTTCTTCATTTAATTGTTCCCTTTTCATTCTCTCTCCACTGTTAATACTCTGATAGACCTCTATAATAACATCCACTTAGTAATGTCCTTCTCCAAGTTCAAGATTCATTGCACGTTCAGTGTCTTCTTGTATGGGAGCTATCCCATGTCCGATCTTCCTGTGAGCCCTTCTCCAAACCTTCGCTACTTCTACTATATTTTTTTGAGATATAGTAGGGTTGGAAAATACAGTCTGTATTAGAAGAAGTGCTTGCAGTGTGGATGCTTAAAGCAATATAACCATATATTCAGTTTTATTCTTTTCTCAGTAACTTGTTGCATTTTTGATCGCCAGTGAGCAAAAAAAGTTTTAGATATTTCAAATTTAAGGATTTTTTTTTTTTACTGATACAGAGATCTTTTCTGTTACTAATTCAGTTAATTTATTTCAACTCTTATCTCTGGATAAAGCAAGCAGCTAGTAATTTTGATATGCTTTCAAAAAACTTCTCTGACAAGGTACTTATAGTAAGTCTCCAGAAGAACTAAGGAGTATATTGCAGACGTATAGAAAAGCAGGGCAGAGAAGCAAAGTACCATCCTGAATGGAAGCTACCAAAAGGACAAAAACTTATTTGGCTACCAATTACCAGTAACTTCCACTCTCAATACAATGTTGCTTAATATAGTTATTAATGCTATGTAGCAAAATCTGGAAAGTTATCACCAAAGTTATCTGGATTTCTTGAGTTTTGAGGAATGTAAGAAGTACTTACATGAACTAAACAAACTTAGCTAAATGAACAACCTAATGTTGATTAATATATTCTGGCAAGAAAACTAGTTTCCTACTACATACAGATCAACAAAAAGTCTACAAAATCAACAGAAAAAACGGACCCGAAATCACTATGCTCATCTCTATTCTCCGAATTATTACTGCACTGAGAAGCCTTAGTCAGGAACAAAGACAAGGTGTAGCAGTCCCTGTCCAAAGACATTTTTAGAGTTCTGATCACGTCACTAAAACAGATATTGAAAAACAAGATATTCAAGCATAGTTAAAGTTACGGGCATAGACAAATTCTCAAAAGAAGAAAAAAAAATCAAAAAAGATGGAAATACAAATAACTGTAGATGTGATACAAGTCTTTTTTATTAAAAAAAGTGGGCAGATCAGACCTTTTATTATTTGTTTCATAACTCACAAAGGGTAAGACAATGTCTTAAAAGCTGGGAAATTTCAGGAAGAATGAAATAAAGTATTTTTTCCATATGCTACATAAAAATGTTGCAGTAATTAGTGTAAAAGGATATTAGAGGTATCAGAGGTAATGGGGTGAAAAAGTAATGGTAAAAATGATAACAATACAAAGGCTGGACTTCCCAAGAAACAAGATAATCCAAAATTAGTTAATGCCAAAATATATCTTGAGAAATGTTAAACCTAGTGGTTAGGATTTAAACAAAGAGGTAAATATTTTATGCTAATCTTTTTTAAAAAAAGAAACACAAAGGCATCACAGTGGTGGCCCATATCTCAGTCTATGATTTTGAAATGTCTCATGCTCACAGAATTTTGCAACTGAAAGAAAATCCACATCCCTGAGAGGCAGTGAACGGAACACAATGGGGAAACGGGTAGGCCTACGCTGCAGAATCAAGTCTGAACCATACGTAATATTTGTAAGAAGAGATTGATGCTCCTAATGCCTTCTGGGAAATAAAAGAAGCCAGAATGAGCTGTCTTCCACAGACACCAAAAGGAGGTACAACTCCAACACTACAAACCCAACCAGAAAAGCATCCTCCGGAATGCAGGCATTTTTTTCCCCCTCTAAAGAACTGTTTTTACTGAAACATTTTTCTCCTCTATCGGAGTACCATGTTTTTATTATAAGACTGAACAGCATTTAAAAATACTCTATAAAGCTAAAATAGATCTTAGTTTTGCCAACAAAAGATATATTTACTGAACACATAAGCATGTTTGAGAAAGAACTGGACAAGATATTGGCATCGTTTATGGAATTTTGACACCTTACCTGAACAAGATGGATTAGGGTGGTTAGAATGGCACATCGTAGCATATTGTGCTCCTCGCTCTGTTTCCAAAGGAGGGGTAAGTATTGAACCAAACATCCTACATATGGTCGTATCTGAAGTTCAGAACATAAATTTGTGTCTTTCTTAAGGTTTGCAACAAGGCCGTTAAAAGCACCTCCTAAATCTTTCAAAAATTAAGCCTAAGATAAACTGTCACAACAGGAATACAATTTGCTTTAATTTACTCTTCTTGTCCCCCTCCTAAAACATCATATTCCATTCTGTGACTGGAATGACTTCTGACTCTACAGTGGATTGAAAAGAATATATTAATTATGCTGACATTTATGAAATAAGGCTTAAGAAGTATATACAGCACAAATAATACTGGTATTTTGACAACTGAAGATGTTTTCATATGACTGTGTTCTCCACTTAGACGGGATTACTGAATAACTGAATTCTCTATGACTAGAAAGAGCCCCATGCAAAAAATCCTTAAAAATAAAAACATAAAGGTTGTTGCAGAATGCCACTCATCAAGAAATTTTCAAACAGACCAAGAATCTGCAGCAGGATACTAATCTGAAGCTGTTATATTACGTTTACCACCATCATACTTTGGAAACAGCGGAACTGCTGTAAAACACTACAAAATCCCCATTTCAAGTAATAAAAAAAAAATTATCTAGTATATATTTTAAGCGTACTTTTATTCAATTGATGTCTATAAAAGCAGGACAATTCATAATTTAGATTTCTGTTTTGTGTGTTTAAGATATAAGAATCAGATGTTCAGTGATTCTTAAAAATTCTAGCTATAATAGTATATTCTTGCTCTGATATTAGGCTAATCTTTCATCTTCACTTCAGTAGCTGTACGTGAGGCGCTTAAAGCTATTTTCATGTATATGAATTTTTAAATGGTAAAAGAATATTTTCTAGACAGCACAATCACTTAATTTTTAATTCAAGAAGTTATCAAAAAGAGTGAAAAAATATTTTGCTGGTTTTGCCTTTTTACTGTGTTTTATAAACTTCAACTGCAGATATTAATGGTCACATCTAGATTAAAATTTAAAATGAAGACAAGTGTCTGTTAATGAGGTATCATAAACAATTTTAAATAGAAGTGGCAAGAAGCGTACTGCTTCCCAGCAAATTCTAGTTCAGCAAGTCAGTTACCAATGTTGTCAGCCCCAAGGGAAGACAGAAAATTGCTGGAGGTTACATCCGCTCCATGATAATAACAAATATTAAAGAGTCCACGAAGAGATACCAAACATATTTCTAAAACCTATATCCCCCATTTTAGCCTCAGTATCAGATCCTAAATAAGAATCCCCTGAAATGTACCCTCATAGTTAAAAATTTTATTTTTCCTTATAAATTCTAGGCGTGTGCTACCCGTTTTCCAGAATTATAATAAAACGCAAAGAATTTGGTCCAAAACAATGGTTGAAGATTCTCCATCCTTGGAGATTTTCAAAACTCAGTTGGAGAAGGTCTTGAACAACATTTAACTTAAGCATGCTTGAGCAGAGGTCAAACTAGATGACCTCTGAAAGTTCCTAACAATCTAAATTTTTCTACAAAACAAAAAGTTAATCTGTTTGTCTTCAAAAGTATTTAATTATGAATTATCCTCAATAGACATAAAGGCCACTATTTAACTTGTTTTCCTGTTACTTCTCTAGCTAACCTAAAAATTCAGGGAACCTGCTGCCATGCTGACTTTTCCTACAAAGGATAATTAGGAAAAACTACATTTGGCTCTAAGACAGGATTACTTGCAAAAAGAGCAGATAAGCTTCAAACCATGCGTTATTTCTGTCTTACAGTACTAACACAAAAAAAAGACAGACAACAGCAGTCAGCAATTCATTTTTGCAAAAACACTTTCAGTTTCTTTATCTTTAAGCTGAAAAATATACTTTAACACTAAGTAGGAAGCCCTCAAAATTGATAGGATCTGAACTTGAAACCTTTGTATGCAGATAAGGATAGTGCTTTATAGGTAATCCTGAACCATATCAGAGCAAACGAGAAATTAGGAATTGAACTGCACAGTCCCCAAGCATTTTGCAACCAAAAAATGTCTCTAATACATACAGTTCATTAAAAATTATACCTTGGATATAAGACGACATAATTAGAGCCAGAAGTTTGGGGGAAAAAATGTTGCAAGAACTGCATTAAAATAAGCAGAGGAATTCCTTTTGTTCTCCAAAAAAATCAATGCAAAAAAACCCACAGCACATTAAGAAGTAACTGAGCAAGATCATATTACACAAAAGAGATCAATGGGAACTGAGAAGACCAAGTAAAGCAAACAATGCAGGCACCTACCATAACAGTAACTTGTCTATTAATCAAAGATATTTGTCCATTATTTTTATATAAGACAAAAACACTCAAGTGAGGAATACTCTGTGTTGTTAATACAAAGTTAAGCTTCAAAATCTACAAAAAAAATACCTGCATATTGACCCTTTCAATCACACAAGACAGAACATGAAGAACGTGCATTTTGGTGTCACATTCCGTAACTTCCTGAAGCAGCTGAAAGAGCAGTGTAAACATGGATTCCAGATACTAAAAGGAAAAAAAAAAAACCGCTACAGATTAGTTCATTAAAAATACAATTAGCGGTATGAATCTGTAACTATTCCCATATGCTTACAACACTGACCTAAGATTTCTATAAACCTTGAATGACACTTGCAGAATGTGCAAAACATTTGTCTTTTATTTGGTAAAGGCATACTAACCTCTCAAAGCCTAAAGGAGATTATTAAAAAAAAAAAAAAAAAATGTAGAGACACTCTTGTGTAAGAGTTCAAGCATGTAACCTATTTCAGCACATATCGTTTTAATGTTTTAATAAGTTTAAACGTGACTTCACAGATAAAACTGTGTAAAGCCAAAAGCCATTTCTCCAGAAAGAATGCTTCGTTAGAGACATAGCAAAGCTCTTCCAGCTTTTGGGTCAATAAACAACATTCAGATTTTGCACTGTAAAGAGCACCAAAATAGGAGACCAAAAAAGTTCTTCTGCATTCAGAAGACGCTATTATAACCATACATCTACATTCAGCATTTACATGAAATAGCAGATTTGAAAGATATGTTTGGAACAGGCATATGGGAGAGGAAGTAACACTGATGAGGAGACTTATTTGTTAAGGACAGTATTGATGCTGGGAAATACTTAGCATCCAGGAGCACACGTTGCATCTAGTACCAAAGACAACTGTAGCAAGTTGTAATATTCGTAATACTAGGAGGTTTTGAACTGTGTACCTGTAAATTACACATTAGCAACCTTAACAGAGGCAGGTGAAGTCTTTAGATGTTTTGGCTAATGAAGATTAAAAAAAAAAAAAGATTTACTGATTACTGAATAGTTTGGTTTAAAATGAATTTGAAAATTATCTTTTCCTGCCTTGCTTCTACCAACCTGCTCATCAGAATACTCCCATGTAAATGCTCTTACCGGTAAGAACTGGTCCGTTCTGAACTCAAAGTCATCTACAGGTAAACTGTCATTAAGGAAAAATTGAATACTAATTGATAAATACATATGAGATCAAATAAGCAAAATACAGTATAGCTACATGACAACTGTAAGGTGAAGAATTCATTAGTAACTTCAAAACCATTTATTTTCCAGTAACTTTGAATTAAGAACTTATCAAACATCTTAAGAGAAGGATATTTAACTTTAGTGTTGTGGCTGTCTCAATACGGACCTGAAAGACAAAAGTCAAGCAGCATCACGCTTACTTCCATTAAATATTTTGATTATTGGCATAATACCTTAAAATAACAAACCAATAATTGTTTTGGCAATTGAATCCTCCTACGTATTCTGTGATCCTCTAAGAAATTTAGTTAGTTCAACATAAACTTTGGTTTTAGAATCCTTTGAAGTTTACTTGGCATTGTCACAATGATAACATCTAGCTGTTATTGCCAATCATTTTTCCACCTACAGAGCCACCACTTAGAAAATATGCTAAGGGCTTATTACATGTCTTTGACCTTATTCTTCAGGAATTAAACTCCTCCACATCTTCCCAACAGATTATCTTTGTTTTCAAGAGACGCAATAGACTTTAAGGTGTGACATTCCAAAGTTTTCAAGCAAGTTTACATAAGGGATGGTATGTTTTGGATCACACTTATCTCATAAACGCAGATGAAACGTTTATAAATACTTACCACTAAGTCTTGGTCCTGAAGCAAGTTACGAATTGCCTCATACAACATAGGCCTCAAGTCTGATTTGAATTTTACAGAAATCCACTGTCCAATCAGCCAAATTACTCGTCGGCGTATTGGTTTATACCTTTAAAAATGAGTAAAAAACTCCGCTATTGCACCTCATTTAATTCATTCCTTGCTCTCTAAAAGACTTTGATAAAAGAGAAATCTAAGAAACACTAAGAAATATTATCCTGCAAGACAATTATTAATGTATTTAGTTTGTCAATACTAACTTCAAAATTTTAATGTACAAATTTTCTTTAATTTTTCACTAGCAGACTCAGAACACACCAATGTATGGCTGAAAGAAAAGCTTCTCTCCTAAAGCACTGAACCTTGAAGGTCTTGCTGGAAACAGTTTATTCTGCATACAATACACAAATAAACTAAAACTAGATCTTCCATTTATTACTGTCACCATGCCTTCAATTCTTTTCACCATACTTTCCAGCAATTTTCTTGAAATTCCTTTTACGCCCAAGCTTTAAAGCCAGATACAATTTATAAACTCCAACGTAACTATTGCATTATGGCAACTACAAACGTATTTCCTCCCCTTCAAGGTTCTCTGCGCTTAATTGGCCTTCACATTGGGTACCTCTGTTTTCTTTAGTGGATATCACAGGTATTTTGAAAGATCAACTTTGGCATCTCAGTATAGACTGAATTGTCCGTATCTTTAAATGTGGCTGTCTTGAAAAAGTTTAGCCAACCCAAATACACACAAGAGGAAAGATTTATAACACTTCTACATAACATTATGAAAGTAGCCACCACACAGTAATTGACACGTATTGTGAACAGAAAGAATGGTGTTCCATGAACACTATCATTTCTGTGATTGTATCAGTTACCTAATACATATTTCATACCTCTGCTCACTTAATGGGTATACTTAAATACTGAATACTTCCCAGGTCTGCAGTTGTTACATTACACCTTATCAAAATGTTATCAACAGATTATTTTTCAACAGATAACAAGAGAGATTAAGGTTATGAGAAGGTTACCTGTTATGAGAAATTTGTAGTTCTGCTAATAGTTGATTTTTAAACCACTGATCAAAATCCACACTATCAAACAGTTCATAAGCAGCAAGTCCAACTGCATTATACACTGAGGAAAAAACAACAGTTATGCTTGCTGTTTGTTTAAATGTTTCATTATTAATTCTAAATTATCAGCCTAAAGTATCAAAAGAATGTTTTAATATCACCTGAGTGCAATAAAGAAAATAAAACTAATGGATATACTCTGAAAACAGACATTATCAAACCATGATGAAGGGAACTCTGGAGAAAATTGTAGCTAAAAGATACTATAGAAAAAGCTTTATAGACTTTTGAAAACAGTTACAAGCCATAGCAACAATAAAAAACTCATTCTAATACCACTAACCATTCCATGGAAAATCTTAAGACAATCCTTTTCTTCCACCATAAAATCTCCTTATTTATAAAATGGACAAAGCATCTCCAAAGCGTAAGAGTACATTTATTTGCAGATAGGAAAGGGAAAGGAGAGGAAGAGATTGCGGGGTTGGTTTCACAAAAAATGTCGGTGAAAAAAGCACCATATTTCTGCATAAGCACTTCTAGCAGTTAAGACTGAAACCAAGTGCATAGAGAAATAGGATTTAGGCCCTATTTTGCAAATGTCTGAAAACTAAATGTTGCAAATTCTTTGTATAATTTTTAAGAAGTCAAGCACATACACAACAGTAGCTCTGTTCCTTCAAAGGTAAACTAAAATTTAATTTACCGGCATCTTTAATCAGTATGGCACTGGTATCTTCCATGTTGGTAGATCCTATAAGACAAAGTTAAAATAAACAAAAAGCCTAACTAAAAAAATACAAGCACGATGTTTGCTTAAATGAAGTAGTCTATAGCAAAGACTAACGGCTTACGCTTTTCAGAGGCATACATAACCACAAACAACGGACAACTCTTATTTTTAAAACTACACTTCCATTACTGTCCCTGTATCTTTGTTTTATTTACAAGTTCAGTATATCAGTTCTGATACATTATTCAGTGAACATACTAAAATCAGATCTCTGCTTTGATGCCCCATTTTTTCATTGGCTTCTTCTGAGCTGAAATATTTTTAGTAGCAACACATAAATTAGAAGCATGTATTTTCATGAAAAGACTCAAAAACAACTATTGAAGAATTAGAAATTACTGAAGAATTGTGTGGTACTATTTCAGAAAAGATCACTACCTAGACCTCGCTCCTATATACTTTATATATGCGCCAGCACGTGTATTTAGAATTCATTTAAAAAGTACATTTAAAATTGTCCAAAATATTGAGAATCAATGAATTCTTAATGCCGCCCTAGCACTTCAACAATAAGTCTCATATCGTCGACATCCATAAATGCTATTATGGACTTCTGAAGCAAAAAAGCACCTCGTAGCATAAAAGTAGTAACTTCCATGATACCTGGAAAATAAAGCAATTTCATCCTTTTGTATTAAAAAAAATCTTTTATGACTCCCACTATCACAGTCAGCAAACCAGCCTGAAACTTACGTATTTTATGAACAAATTCTGGATCTGAAGTCAGAAACTATCCTCAGGAAATGAATGTTTATTACTAGCTAATAGAACATACTGATCCATTCTGGTAAGTTCAAATGTAAATTATTGTAATAAGTCCGATAAGATATAACCTGTGGAAACCAAACCTAAGCAGAAACGACAGGAAAAACAAAGTGCAGGTACCACTCATTGTCTTCCACAGGCACTATGAAACTCAGTTCACGAGAGGAACAAAATCTGAATCATTCCTCAGCCTATGAGGACTTCAGTCTTCATACAGAAAAAGAGTAGATTTTTCAGCGGTTCTAGACTCTCCAAAATGACAGCATAGCATCAGCTTTCTTAAAATTTCCGCACAGACCCAGCGGATATACCATAAATCATCTGGTAACACTTGAACCGGAAGCTCCTGCTAAAAATAGCCTACAGAATTAAGCTTGTCAACAGTTGTCAATAAAGCCTGAAAACCTCACAAAAGTAGAGTTGCTGCTCCAATCTTTCTCAGTCATCTAAAATTAAATAAAAATAATTAAGATGAAAAGGAAAGAATCCATAGGATTTCCTTTTCCTATATACAATTGCATTTTCATTATGATAGATTTAGACATGCTAATACATTATTTCAAAGATACAGAGTGAATATACTATATAATATTGCATTTCACAAAATTGTTTAACATCTGACACAAGGAAACAAAGAATTCTACATTTTACTGCTTCTTTATTTTTAAACAACTTACCTTGTAGACTGTGAACCATTTCTAAAAGCACAGGGGTAAGAGTCTGATTATATTCGTGGAAAATATCAATAAAAAGAACTTCCGTGCATGGCTGGAAAAAGAAAATCTGCTATAGAGTCTATCAAAATAAAGGCAAGTAAGGCACAGCATAGCATGTAATACAATATTAATAGTAATTTTGCTACAGTATTTGAAATACCATTTCATATCACATGGCATGTTCAAGTTTAGCAAGACTTTAATCACTGTGTCTACATGAGCAAGTTTTGTGGTGCAACAAGAGCGGATCCGTGCAGTGAAACAACTTTTATGGAGAATCCAGAGACCACACCCTACATTTTCAGAGTTTTCTTTTGGATTAGCTCTAGTTCATCATCTGGACTGAATGCCCATTTGCACTTGGAATACATTAGATGTACATCATCTTTCTTAGTTTCATTCTGAAAGTAACCCAGCTAATACGCTCTGAGATCACTCCGCAAAGCAAATCACAGCAGGGACAATCGGGAGATTCATTTCAAAAGCACACTTTTGATGTGAACTAAAATGGTAATATAGATGCATCTGATATGACTCAGATGAGAGAGAGAGATCAATTGAGATGATCAATTAAGAAAGTTTTAGTAAGAACATAAATATGAAACTCTGTTGCTCGTCTAGTTCTATCCATCAGTTTAAAGAAGAAATAACTTGTACAGGGCTTAATAAACACCACACATGGCATACAATATAATCCCCAAAGCAAACTCCTTTCCCCCTCTCAGAAGCACAGTTTCCAGTGTATTTCAGAATGCTTCTACATTAATACATGGACAAAGTTCACTTGCATTATTACCGATGAAGTTTCTTTAACTCAGCTAAAGATTTTTCTGAAAAATATGAGCTTGCTTTTCTACCAAGTATCATTGCTGTTGGACTATCAAAAATGCATCCATAAATGTTTAATGGTTTCATTTCAAATTGAAATACTTACTCTGAGACTGTATTTCCAAGAATCTCCTCCTGTCTCTTCTACAGCTATTAATTCACAAAAGGGGGGTGGGGAAGGGAAGGGGAGGAGGAAAGAGAGGGAAGGGGGGAAAGAGAGAGGGAGGGGGGGAGAGATAAAGTAAGTATTATTTCAACTATGATGTAAACAAAGTTATTTAGTATTTACATCTGTGAACATCATGGACTATTGAAAAATTTCAGGCTCTGAAAACAATCTCCAGAGGGAATATTTGTCTGTACAACAAGAATGCAGAGAATTAAACAGCCAATATTGCATTACATCATTTGCAGAGGTAACGTGGAAATGAAACTTTTATACCAGCATCTATACCAGTGCAACGATCTATACAACGTTTCTTACTGAAGCCTTCTGGGTCCTCTTCCCACATTGTCAATTCTTCCTCTGTTAGCAGGAAATAGTGAGTGACTAATCTCCTGCATATTTCCATTAGTGTTGGATATGTGAAAAATGCTGTCTTTATCTTATGTGCTTCAAGAGTTTCAGGACTGCTATCTGAAATAAAACGTGCAATATTAAAGTTACAATTAAATGGCTAATTAATCAAATAGTTTAGTAAAACTATAAAGAAATCGATAAGTAAGAAATTCTTATCCCCAAAGAAATAATTATATTTTCTCAACAGATTTCCAGGTGTACTTATTTAGCAAGTTAAAGTCCTCAACTCATTTAATTCTAAGAGATTTCTCTTACAGCACAATTAGACTGATAGGTTGGACTGCTGGACTTAAGTAGAGTTAAAAAAAAATCCACATAGCACTCAAAAAGATTCACTTATACCTATTCAGAGAGTATCAAAATATCATCTTAAACTAATTTAAGAGTTAATTTTCAACATTAAAGAAAGTAGCAATAAAAACAAATACCATATGCTACACAACTCACACAATCACTACATATCAGTTGCACATAAAGTAAAATAAATATTTTCAATCTTTGAATGAAGTCATCCAGTTCTCAAAAAGTTATTAAGTAGCGTTATTAATATACTATATCCTTCAAGTCTCAAGTGAAAGCTACATTTCAAAAGCTGAAACATAACTATGAACATATATAAGCTGCAATTTCTATTAATAATCAGTGGATTCTAGGGCATTCTAAGGTACTACAAATTGTGGAATAATGCTGAAATATGTCAATATTTTAAAGAATTTTACATGTTGAATTTGTGTAATCTTTATGATACACATACCTTTATATTTATGAAACTCATTTTCTTTTAGTTTAGAAAGAATGCTAATTGCCATCTAGTCAATGGCAAAAGTCAAACTAACGTGAAAGTTGAACTTTTTTTTCACCAAAAAATTAAACTCTGAAGAAAGCAATTTTAACTATCTGTACATACAGATGGGTACATAGAGCTGAAATCTTGTGAAATACAGTCCTATAGAAACAGAATATAAACTTGCTATACATTCAACTGCATGCTTCAAGTTTTCTGCATTTGTTTTTTACAGCACTGTTATCACTTAACCAAAATATGTTCACTGAAAACTAAGATGATCAGAGAGAAGATGTTTGATCACAAACTCCTCATGGATTTAAAATGACTTGGGCAAGTCATTGTTTATATTAATACTTTCACCAAAATAACCATTAGGAATAGAGACAGAAGCATACGTTACTAACGAAGTATTAAATGTTTCAAAACAATGTCTTAAAGGAGTTTAAGTGTTGGTAACAACTAGCAAGATGTTTCTCAAGAACTGAAAAATGTTTTTAGTAAATAGCAGCAGTACCTTCAATATTTTTGGATGGCTTGTAAGCATAATTTTTTACAATCATCTTAATGAGATTCATGCACTGTACAATAAATCGCTCAAATACAACTCCTTCACCAGCCTCTGTGAAAACATAGCTTACAGCAAACTCCAATGACCTCTGAATCAAAGCGGTAAACGAAAAAGGATGTTGATCCAGGAAGTCCAAAAGCTAAAAATTAAGGAAGTAGAAGAGGAAAGAGAGAGAAATCAAATGACTTTTTGTGCAAGTCTTACCTTTGAAATGCTTTCACAAACTAGTTATAAAAAGCAAGTGCCTATTTATATAAAATTATAGAAAAGTAAGAAAACTGAACATAAGAAATCAGGAAAGGATCAGTACCAATGCTTACTGAAACATGAGCTTCTCAATGAAATTCCTGATTCATAATCAAAATTACTTCTTGCTACAAGTTTAAGGAACAAAATCCGTTTTCAACCAGACAGGCTTGCTTGCAATGTAGTGTAAAAATAAATAAATAAATAAATAAAAATATATATATATAAAATATCAATTATATTAACAACTCTTAAAATTTTAGCAGATACTTATATATAGATTCATTTTAAACAAGTTCTGTCGTTCATCTTGATAAAAACAAATCCTAACCTCAGAACAGATGCCTCTAAGAAGAGGCAACCCACTGCATTTTCACCAAACTGGCGATCTTTTGTTGTGTTCATAGCTTCCAAACACCCTACATTGCATCACCAAAAAAAAAAAAAAGACTCCAATTCATGCAGGAACTAACTGAAAATTCTGAAACAGATCACTACAATTATTATTTGCTACCCACTCCCTAAAGATAACAGATTCTAGTCTAATACTTTCATCAAGACACACATGCAATTTAAGAAAGATCCCTGGTTAAAAAAAAAAAGAAAAAGAATAACTCATCTCTATTACAATTATTCCAAGTTTAAAAAGAAAGGGTGTGAGGGAAAGGATTTTTGATCCTTTTTTCTCCCTCCTCAAGCAGTTGCCTCTTCAGCTTAGCTTTTCTATTCAGTGGTCTAGAGTGGCCTGGCCTGGTCGATTCCTTCTATCTCCTCTACTATTGCAAAAATGCCACCAAATATAAATTCTTGCATCTTAATTTCCACAGATGCTAGATATCTACAAAATGCATTCTCTCTTCAGGTCTATAAAAAAATGAAAAGACAGTGTACATCTCATTCTGCCTGCAAGTTCAAAATAAGTAGTTCTGTGATAAAGACTAAGAATATTGGGTCTGAGCACCTTCGGGTCAATTTCAGTGAGGGCTGCAGGTCCTTCCCACTTCTGAGAACAACACTGAATATTTCAGTAAGACTGATTGCCCCAAGATAGAATCTGTAAACAATGGGAATGCTATAGAATTTATACCTATGAAAGACAGAACAAATGACATTGCAATTATTGCTTATGCCAAGTTAGCTAGAAACTCAGAATGTATTATAATATAAAAGACAGAGTGTAAGAGTGAGAAAGTTTTCTGTTAACTTTCTTTCAATAAACTAACATTGGCCAGTTACTCCACAGGGCCAAAGAAATACAACCTAACTGCTTACAAATAACAATCCAACTGCTTGTGAGAGGCAGGACAGAAAGTTTATTATCTTTTACCCATCGATGCTATTCCCTATTACAATACTTAATTTTCAACAAAACATTCAGAATTGTTTTTCTGAACAAAACCCTAGTTATAATTTACCTATGGGATACACTTAATTTTGTTTGAGGTAAGGAAACTTATTCTTCACTCCTGCAATTTACGTTAGCATGACCAGACAGATACCCTTTCCTTCAAACAGAACGTAAGTTTTCACAAGGATATTTTACAGAAATGAAATTCTTAGTTGCAGTACCTCCCATTTCTTTGAAACATCTGAAACTTATTGTTTTTAAGGAACATATATATTTGGATGGGGTTTGCTCTTCCATACTGAAGAATGTTCAGTATCTGAACGGACAATTTACTTACCACTTTAGTGAACAGAATTATAGTCTTTTCTAGACGATCTCTACATACGTTTTCTCCTCCTACACGTCTACCTGGTAAAATAAGATATTTAACAACAAGTATTATTTTCCAAATTTTCCTTTTCTTTCTGTATAGCTACATTTGAAAAAAATCAACACTGAAGAACATCATGCTCTATCTGTAGTTCAAGGGATATGGCAGCCAAAAAAAGTAGGAAAAAATTCTATGGCAGAATAAATGCAAAGTCCAATATTCAAGGTAATGAATACTGGAACAAATCCTTTAACTGCAATGAAATTCATTGTAACTGATCAGAATAAAACAATCAGGACATCATTACAGATAGCTCAGTGAAAAAAGTCAAACATTGCAAACAAATGCCGGAGTAGGCAAGGAAAGAAATAAAAGCTTTAAAAAAAATGAAAATAACCTTATAGGAAACCTACATCACGCCCTCAGTAAATGATACTGTGCGCTCTTCTACTAACCTCATGTTTAAAATACACAACAAAAATGGAATGAATTCAATGATTAGTGATAAAAAATGATTACAGACACTGGAAAACACTCTGAATAAGGTTACAAAGAGAAGATAGAGCTTTTGCATACAACAGAGAAAAACATAAGCATCATGAGGCAGACATACAGCAAAAAGGACGTTACAACAAAAGGAAATTCTACTCTAGTTTAGGTAGTGGTGCCTGTTTTTGCCAAACAGCTTAGTGATTAGAAAAGCAGTCCAGAAATGCCAGGTGTCAGCTAGCATTTAAAGTAATAACTCTATGCTCAAAAAAAAAAACCAAAAAAAACCCTAGCATCAAAATGAAAGCATTATGCTTTCATCCAACTTTTAGTATTTAACAAACAAACATAAGGAAAGAGATTCAGGTACTCACTACACTCCAGAAACTGTTTTAGCCGTTCAAACACTGCATGTAGAAAGCCCTGAAAAATATGAAAACAAAAATATACATATTTAAAGATGAAACTCCTTTTGTACTGTATTGAGAAATTTCAGTTTGTCTGATCTAAGACATGTCACTAGCTCAGATTCATGTAATTACTATTTAACCAATTGATTCTCTTAGACAAGTAATTTTCTCATGAAATAAATTATTAGCTAGTAGACTGCATAGATGTTCCAACCTGATCTCGTTACTACAACACAAACAATGTAGCATCTCTAATAGAAAGAGGTGTATGTAAAAAAAGAGGTGCATGTAAGTACTAACATAGTTTACAGTCTCCTTACCCACCTCCTTCCTCCTGAACTCACAGAATACAATCTAGCAGGTCTACCTGTTCTCAAGTTATTAATTTAGGATGTAGCCATGAGGTACTCAATTCTTCCAGCAAAACAGGCAGTGCATGTGAGTAAGAGGGTGAGCTTTTTCTTTTTTGTTAAAATAGGCTGCATACCCTAGGCTTTTGTCTCATAATCAGACATGAATCCCATAGACAAACATGCCGTTACATTCATCGTTAGAAGGAAAGCATCCTCTTCAAACGATGGCAGAAAGTATACATAAGATATCTTCCAGTAGGGAACAAGGGTGTCACTGTCACTTGAATGGACACAAAAGTGACCGTGAGGCAGGTAATCCAAGGAACATTGCTGTCCTTTTTGATTAAAAAATAAAGCATCATGTCTTTGAAGGCCAACACAAAAAGATTTAGAGAAAAGATCTAATGTTTTAAGGGAAGAAAGCACACTTCTCCCCAACAATGGCATACCATCCCCACAGAAACATCAAGTCTTACAGTATACTGTACCTATTCTTAATTAATGATGTTACTTTATATCTAATAAACAATATTGCTTTCATTTAGAAAAATATGAACTCTTACGCCACCTGTTACAATTCACAAACCCAGTAAGGCTATAAAAAGGAATAAATATTATGGTTTTGGTTTTTACTATTTAGATTTTCACCTACATATTGACATTTACAGAAATTCTTCTGTGATTTAGTTCTAGAGTTATACTAGGCATCTAGCTGAAACTCCACAAAAACATCACAAAGAAAACAGTGGATACATCTTGACCGACTGGATACATCCACAGAAGTGGATACAGCTAGGAATGATCAAAGAAAAGAAAAAAAAACAAGAATAGGATAAGCTAATTTTCTTGGAAGCTCAGAAAATTTCAAGGCTTGCCCAGAAATTAACGTCAGAATCTTCCTCAGTGTTATGAACCAGTATCAGCTCCTTCTGGTACTTCCAGCCTCTCGGCAGGATGCAACACTAAGCTCTCATACAGTATCAATACAATAATACAACACTAAGCTGCGTATTCTTCCGACCATTTCTGCTACAGGGAGTGGCAGATTTGGTGCATAAGAAAAACATGAAAACATAAAGGAAGTTTCATTACCTCATGGATCTAAATAAAGGAAAACGCAGAACAGTTTTAAACCTAAAGCAGTGAAAAGTCTAGACAGAGTAAATCATTACCAGTTCCACATATTAAAAAAATTAGTTTCCATCTCATCACACTATACATCTTTCTTGCACAAGTACCATCTTTACTTTGCATAGCTAACATAAGATTTTGATTTGAGCAAAACTAAAAGAATGCATGCTAAGTGTAAAATATGTATTGTTAATTTATGAAGCCAGCCTCAGTTCAAATGATATGCTCAAAGGTATTGAATTATAAAAAGTATAACATTAGTTTTCAATTTTGTGACAGTGTGAAGATGCTAAAAATCAAAGACAAAAGAATAGAAATTTTCTTTATTATTAAACTCAATCAGCACAGTTTAAATTACAAGATAAATTATACCTTGTTAAAGATTTAATTGTGTTGTAACACATTTTCCACATCTACACAGTGCTCTACTGGCAGACACAGCAAAATGGTAAGTTTTGCAAAGATTTAGTGTGTTTCTAAGTGCTGTTATTTAAATAAATTGGGGATGCAAACACAAAAAATGCCCCTGGAGCTCTCAAGTCCGATCAACAACGGAGTTGACAAAATTATTCTTTAATTCCTCTAGAGTAATAGGGCTTTACTAATGCAACACTAGAAATGGAAGCACTGAACACTACAAAAGAAAAAGATCCAATTCTGAGGCCACATCAACTGGGGACTACAAAGCTCCTGAAAGCCTTTTTTAAAAGAAAACAGCAAGTTGTTTACCAAATCCTGATGTTTTTTACTCAAAGCTGTATCTTTACACTCTACAGTGTTATGTTGATGTCGAAACATTCTCTCAGTTGTCAACATAAATTGCATTTGTGAGCAACTGGCCTCCTCTTTTAAGTCTTTCTTTTGTTATTTGTTAACCGTGATATATTCTTTTTCATCTTTAGGAACCAAAAAAACCCAGTAGCACCCCAGTAAAATTTCTCTTTTTTCAAAGAAAAGCAGAATTCTGCAATTATTTTTTCTCCATATATAAAGACTTTTCTCAAATTTAGAAATTAAGACTAACTTAGAAATTCTAGAATTTATTGTAGACAACAAACCAAAGGCATCACAAAAGTTCTTCTCCAGGCTAATGGGAAGAGTGTTTGGAGAAGATCACCTCTGGGCTCTTTATTCTCCCAATGCCCTGAAATACCAACTACATCATTAGCAAAATTATTTAAGTAAAACAGATGCCAAGCACAAATTAAGATAAAAAACAAAACACCAAGCTGAATCCACAAAGAGGACTTCCACTTTGGACAAAGTCACTTGGTGAAAAGCAGTATTTGAAAGACAGGTCTAGCATTCACTGTTAACAGTTTGGGCTGAAACTTCTTATGTTAGGTGTCTGCACCAGGTCTAGCTATTTTAATTTTCTGAAAAACTTCAATCACATTGATTTTGAGAAAATTAGTTTTGCTCATAAGAGTGCAGATTTACTTGTGAGGCTGAGACACCCCTCCAGGGGCCACCTTCTCCCCAAAAGCAACACCTGCAACCAGGTGCACAGAATCCTCTTGCCCCACAAACATCACATCAGTGCTACATCCACTCCAGCACAAATCAGACTCCTGAGGTCTTTCTCTCAAGTGCACTAGATCTTCAGATGTTAAATAACTCAAAAGTCAGTCCATTCTGACCAGAAATAGGCTTTTTTGTCTTTCCTGGCATGTCAAAAGCTAGATTAAAAGAGAAAAAAGTAACATAAGGAGTCTTGATGAGACTAGAACTTCCCGAAGTACAAGGTGGCAGGATAGGGCATGGGGAAGAGGGTGTGGGGAAGAGGGTGTGAGGTAGGGGGTGAACCACAACTGGGAACCGTTGTAAAGGTCCCAGAATGACTGGAAAGAATACAGTAACTTTGTCCTTTGTGACAAGATCCTCTGCATTATCTCTTGTGTCTGGTGGAATAACTCTTTTAAGCTCAAGGTAGTTTAAAATTGCACAAAGCACTACCAGAAATGTAGATAATCACGTTATACTGGCCAACTTAGGCCAAGAAAATTTGCAGTGATGTTTCCAGACATGCAGTTTCATGGATCGCTTTCTGGATCACAGAACTGCTTTGTGCAATAAGCAACGTCCACTAAGCGTTCATGTGACTTGCCTTGTCAGCTGCCATCAGGATTGTCTAAATTACAGGAAGGACAAATTTCAAATACGTCATCGTTTTGATTTCATGAACAGGGAACAAATAATCTCAAAGTATTTCGTTTCTACAAGAAAGCATCATCACTTTTTAGCTAATGGATATAAAACTGAAGAACAATACGTAAGAAAACAGAATAGCTAATGATACCTTGAACACCAAAAAGCCCACAGATCCTGCAAATTCAAATTTCCAGCCCCACTTGCTAGAAATACTCACTTTGACAGAATCATAGTTTTTTTGCCAGTGACTTCAAAATTTAACAGAACGGCTTAGACTTGGCTACTCAGAAGATGCTGAAGAACTTAACTTTCCTCTTAACAAGCCTAACATCTGGTACCTTCCCATTGTTTTCTTTCAGGTACATTCTTGCTGAATTTCTTTTCTAGATAGCAAAAGCCAAGAAAGCTAAAATATTGACATGCACACAAATGCATTAAAAACTAGAAGGGACGACTTTTTCTTTTAACAACATTGCACTATTGATATCACAGTGCCTAGGATCTGTCACAGCTGTAACTGAAACTAACTGCCCTTAGCTGACAGGGGGACAATTTGAAAGAGCGTTGCTTGATTTTGCTATACATAAAAGTATACCTTCCAACTACCTTTAAGCATCTAATATCACTCAAAATTATCACAAAAGACTTAGTGTAGCACTAAACCATCACTTACCATCACCTCTACACTCCGATGAGGTTCTACAAATCCATGGACTGTCAGTTTACGAAGGACTGGGGGGAAAAAAAAAGTTATTTGTGTAGATATTTTTCAGTGTTTGTTTCAACAGACTTCTAGATGCATGAATAGAGTATTAGTTGCTACGCATTTCTTCAAATTCTTCAAATAAAAATACACATAATTTTGTACCTGAGATGCTTCAACCACACTTAAAAATTAATCTAATCTTGCTGAAATTACCTGTACATTACATATGAAAAACAGTGAAGAGAACGCCAAGAATTTTTCAATCACGACAAAGGATTCTGCATAGACTGTAAGCAGCCACCCGTATGAAAGGCTCTGTTACAGAAAAAGGGCCAAGTATAACAGTCAACAGGACAACAGTCCATAAGCCATCCTCTGAATTTTCTCAGGTTTATCACTGCCAGTAACCCAAAGCAGCCACATGATACAGCTTCTGAAACAATTCAAGAATGACATCTGCATTGCAAGCATCACACAAACATCTCCACCCTTAAATGCAAAGTAGAGTAAAGGCATGTATTCATCCCACCAGTAAGTATTTGAGCACCAGCCTCGATCTCAACTGGCTGCTAGCACTACTTCTTCACTGACTAGGAGGTGAACTTAAACCAACAAAACTGATAACTCAGCTTCCTCAGTTAAGCGTCTGAAGTAAGGCATAGAGGTGCAGGCCTAAATTACAAAACACATGAAAAACCACCCTGCCATTCCCTCCACTCCCCCATCTCTAGACTTCTTACAGCAAGCATATCAGATTCCCTTCTGATAAGAGACGAACAGAGAAATTCATACAGAGGAACAACGGTACCTTCTTCCTCTCCGACATGAGCCATCCTGCTTTGGCTCAAGGCAGAGATAAGAAGAAACTAAGATCATTGGCTGTCCCAACAGACATCACTTTGTTAGAGAGCGTTAAGATTCTTTCCCAAAGAAGTTGTGACCATTCATTGTGAAGAAACTTATTTCATCCCTTACATTTAACATCATTTTGCATTGTTACCTTTCAATGACAACAATGTTCTTTCTAGTGAATTTGTGGCTGCAGCTTCATCCCCTGTACAAACTTGCTGTAGGAATGTATCTGTGTGATGATTCCATAAGGAACATGCAAAGCTATAAATACCAGACGCAAGCTGCAAAAGGCAAAAAACAAACAAAAACTCACTCAATACATCTAATTTGCCAGATATGGCTACAGCACAAATTCCTAAATCTTAAAGGATGGTTTAGAGTTACATTATTTAATCCATCTTCTTGCATAACATGAGACACAGTGTTTCACTTGTTTCTCTGTTGTATTTAATGCTACTGATCCAAACATGTCTTCCAGAAAAATACCTCATCTTAATTTGAGAACATGAAGAGGGAATCATCTGTTTTCCCTTACCACTAGATTCTGTGACTCTACTGCTGTAAAAATAACAAACCCTTCTTATCTGATTTACAGCTCCAATCATAGGTCTATAATAGTGTGTTAAGGCTTCAAAAAAGTTTCAACTCTCGCACTCTGGTAAGGAAGCCTAAGAACCAATATTTTTTAAAGAACATACTGAATTAAGAATCAAAACCACTCTTAAAAATAATGGAAGTTTAATATCTTAAAGTTTCCTGTATGACATGATAACATAAGCACATATGTTATAATGCATATATTGCATTATTGTGCATAGCCAAAATGCCTGTAAGATGAAGCTCTGCTTCTAAACACCTATTATTAGAATTAGAATTATTAGAACAACACATAAGTTACATGCAAAATTAATACAGATCTCAAAAACATTTCACCTAGAAATTGACTACTTATTAAACCGTATGTACACCCAAAATAAAAGCATTTCTGTTTCAAAGGGAAACACTGAAGTCTACGTACTTCTCATTAATTCACAGACAGCAAACAATGGGCAGTGGGCAGGTATGCAAAACTAATTGTTTGCTTGTGCGCTACAATATTACATATTGCATTACTTACATCATAAAAGAGTTTCCTGTCTGCAGCAAGTCGTTTGGATGCCAAGGTTTTCGTAACATGATAGAAGGTAAGTAATGCTCTGTGTTGTCGAAGATCATCTTGGACTTTCACAGATTCCAGAAGAGTGGGAATAAGTTCTGGCCACTGCCTTGGGCAGTCCACCCTAGCAACTTTAGCAATCAGTACAGAGATCTGAGTTGCTATCTGAGAGAAACAAAACAACAACAACAAAAAAACAACAAAAAGAGGTTCCACAAAATCAAAGATCATTAAGAAACGTACACTGTAGAAATACAACTTCTGTTATTTGCAAACAGCTAAATAAAATCTGAATTAAATAAAAAAATCCAGTAAGGGTAGTTAGTTTTAGGGTGATTTTTTACTACTTTAAAGTTTGCTGAATACAAAGCAATTAACATAAAAGTTTGGAGAAAAAAATGTATTTCCTAAATTTAATGGCAATATTTTATTTAAATTTTTAATATAAAGCTGGCTATATTGCTTAAATTTTACATAAAGACCATTCAAGTCAATTGTTCCAGAAATCACATAAATGAAGAATCAAATATTTGCATATCACATCGTATTTAGTGAACTTTTTCAGCTTTTTCTATAAAAATATATAGAAAGCTGAATATATAACCCCCTTATTACTGCTAATCCTGGATATTGTTTTTAGCTTTTAGACAAAGACTTTTCTCCTATATTTGCATTACCATAAATCAAGTTAAGGTCTCAAGTTTAAAAGAACACTTCAGAGCACGCTGATTATTCACTTTCCTAGATCAGTGGTTGCTTAACAGCAACCATTACATACACGTTATATCACTGCCTTCCTTTTTTTTAAAATTAAAAATATACCTATGGTATACAAGGGAGGAGAAGAGAAAGAAAAAATTAAGGGGTTGGAAAGAAAAAAACAGTATATTCAAGCAATATGTTTGGGTGCTACTGTTTTCCAAAAATTGATCTTTTACCATTTTAATTGCAAATATGTTAAATTAAAAATATAAAAAATATTAACATGAACTATAGGTTTGTATTTCTCCAGCTGCACATCAGTCTCAGGACTTCTGAAACTGATTCACACAGAAGTTTAATAGGGTTTCTAGCTGGATTAGTTTTAATCCACAGCAGCTCCCCAACCCACCTTAAACTTCCATGAGTATCTATGATCAGAGGGTACAGAGTATGATGACAGTAAGAGTGAATGGTGGATGGGGGCAGGAAGAGGCAGAAACTTCTCTTTTTTAGCAGTGCTGGCTTATTTCAGATTAATGTTTTAAACAGTTAGAGCAAAACTGCCTGAAACATGAAAAAAGAGTCCTAAAACACGAAAAAATGGTCAAGTGCTAAATAGAAACACTACAGTTCCATCCTAGGGAAAAATATACCTTCTAATTCTATGAAGAGGAATCCAAGCAAGTTATAGGCAGGCATAAGAGGGAATAACCATGTACTCTTTTACTGCTTCTTTAACTGTGCCATCCGAAAGCTGATCATCACACAAAACTTCCTGCAATATTCATTCCTGCCCACTTGTACAGGAAGAAGAATTGCTTCTGAAGACAGAACAAGCCTTGCAAAGAAGAGTTGGGAGTCTTATTTATTTTTAAAATCAAGTGATGTGATTGACAGGAGGGGGAAAATAAGTTTTTTCAACTGTGATACAATAAACAACCCGTACAGAGAAGCTGACAGTACTCTTTTTTTTTTTTTTTTTTTGAGGACCGGCTTTTTAAATTAAGGGGGTGGGGGAAAGTCTGCTGTCAGCTATTTCAAGGAGTATTTTGTTCCTCCATTCCCTCCATACCGCAAAAATCTTTCGAGGGCATAGGAATTAGGCTCCCACTATATTTTATGTTCTGGGGTTTTTTTCTGCCTCCTCTGGACACCAGCTCTAATCATCATATCACAACATTCTGTTTGATTCTCATGTTTGTCATTTGTTTGCTTTTTTAAAAATATATGCAAGGGTTATAATTTCTCTGCTTTTAATAATGCAGTATGCACAAAGCACAGGTACATAGTAATTGTGTTCTGGAGTATCTGCTGCTGGAAAAGAGCAGCCAATGAGCACTCATCAGGAATCCAGCACACTGAACTTCAGATCTATCAAGCAGTACGAGGGTCTAAATGAAAAGGAAAACATCAACATACCCATAACAGGGATTGGGCATAGGAAAGAAATAAAGAGAGAAAGACTGAAATATCTTTATTTCCCAATTCCCAGAAGCCAAAGAACCTTAACATCAAAGCACGTTAACTAACAGGTGCAGAAACTGCATGAAATACTGCATGAAATTTTGTGCCACTCATTTACAACGCATAAATCACACCACATACATACACAACTGAATATCAATAAAGTCTCTATAAACTCTTCCATAACACAACTATTGTTTGAGCAACGATTCAGGAACGGGCCCGCTGGCATTAACAAACAAACAAATCCACCCCCCCCCAACATAAACAGCTTAAAATACAATACCCTGAAAGCGTCACACAGATAAATAAATAAATCCATTATTCTAAAAAATGTCAGTTAAGACATTGATACTTTAGTCTTAAAATTGCTTAACTATTCAACAGAATTAGGATTTTAAGTACCAAATGTACCATACTCCCGTATCAACAGGTAATCTGAACTAAATATTAATAGAAGTAGCGAGAAATTTTTGGTTAAGAAGTTTGAATTAAGTTTCATCTACAACGCAGTAGGTTTTCAGAAATGTGAATAGCATGCAACTGCTTCAGAATTAAATATCTGATAAATTTTGTATTAGTTAGTCGAATAAGTGACATCTATTTTAAGGTCAAACATGATACACATCAAAGTGCTTAGTTGAAATAAAGAAACAAGTAATATTTGGTCATATTTTGGGTCAAATTTAAATTCTATCTACAATATAAATTTAAAGGTATTTTCTATGCCTACCTCCATTTAAAAATTTTCCATTTGAAATTAAAAACCTTACATTCTGTTCAAAATTATCACTGTACAAATGACTTCTACAAAGTATAATTTCTGTTATTTCACTATACTGCTCCAATCCTACAAATAGCAGTAATCCCAAAGACTCCTGAAACACTAGAACTGACCTATCTGCAGAATTAAAGTTTGTTTGCTATACCTTTACTTTTTAAGCTTTACCTCAGGCAATTCTTCTCTGTATTTTCTCCAAAGCTCTTTAAGACCTAGCTCGAAACAGCAGCAAAGAATTCTTTCCAGAAACTCACACTTAAATGAGCAAGATTAAGTCAGCAGCCATGAAAACTCATACGTCTAGCATGTGCATGTTTTGAGCTGCTAACATTAACACTACACTCAGTTTAACAATAAATCCTTATTTTACTCCAAACAAGCTTTTAAAACTAGTCACTTTTAAAACACAAGACATGACACTATCACGCTGAAGCCTGTTCACACCTATTCAATTTAATTAATGCTATGATTACATATGTGACAGCAATGCTGCTTAGGTGAGTTTATGCAGTATCATTCTCAGCGGTTCATTCCTGATATGCCACCACACTTTCTTGTATGGCTAAACTAGAAACCAGACCAGAGAACAGATATAGCTGGAAGGAAAAAAACAAACAACCAACAACAATCCACCCTCTGGGAGGGTGGTGGGCTGGACTTTTGAGCTGGATCCATTCCCTGAGTCAACACACCAATAGCTGCATAAACAGCAAGGGACAGCATAAACTGACACTGCAACAAAAACCAAACCAAAAAGACAAAATATGCTGAATTGTGGTCTAAGGAAAACAAAAAAATCAAAGACAAGATCTCACTTCAAGGTAAAGAACTGTCTGAAAGGCAGCATGTAAATTGGAAGTTGTCAACTGTGCCATTAGCAAACACTTCGTGAAGACAGAAACCGAATTATATACCAATTGTATACCAGAAACATTTGTAAGGAGAACAATAATTAATCATTCGTCACTAACCTGATTCACTGGCTCATTAAAGTTAGTAATAAGTCCAGCACGCAAGGTAGATTTTTCCTCTTCAGAAAGAGCACTGTTAAAACAGGATACATTTCTTAGAATAGCATTTCATTTTACATAAAACCCAACTATTAATTCATATTCAGCATTGTTTTGTCACTACTACTAGACACAAAAGTCAAAATGACAATTTCCATTTGTGCATCTGTATTTGACTAGATGAAGATTACTTTCGTGCCGTTTTCTTGGAATTAATGTATTCCAATTTGATAAACCATCAGGAGAACATCCTTTGTTTTTCCACCATCTCAGAGATGTTTGGAAAGAGAAGAAACAGTGAGATAAAGAAATATTTGAGAGCCTTTTGACATTAGAGTTTTATATTTCCCTTTTATGTGACCTTTGGAAGCACAAAAAGCAAGTACACACCGTAAAATACAAGGATCAATTATGAAAACATGGGAAAACTATACCAATTATAAATTATGATTACTGTAAGGGAGTTTTACAGTTACTTAAATCAATTAAGGTTATTTGCATTAAACTATTTTACTTAACAATGCAGCGATTTAGAAGTATAAATGCAATCATCAAACTTCAAACATAGTCTAGTAGCTGCAAATTAAGAAGATTAAACACATCAGCACAACCACTTGCTGATCTCAGTTGCCAATCTAAGACACTAACCTACTACTTTTATACAGGGAGGTTTAAAAGGATGACTTAAGCTCCTTAAAAATCACAGGTTCTACACTAATCTAGGTTAAGTATTAAAGGTTCAAATCAAAATAATAGAAAATAAAACTAGGATTTACCCTAAGGTCAAACATTTGCAGCAATGTTTCTAGTTCCCCCCCACCCCGCGTATAATACAAATCCTCCCGATTTGCCAGATCACAGACCTCTCAAGTATAAAGCATGTGTTGGGGAGGGAGAGGGGATTTATTTTTTCATAAGTGACTTTGAACTGCCAGCCTAAGTTTCTTTTTCAGAGGTAGTTTATAGCATGCAAGAAACAAAGTTGACTGACTTTTTTTTAAACCAAGAATTAGTTTCAAAGTATTTTTACATGAAATTACGCAAAATATTTTTGGCATAACTTAATGTCTACAAAAGTTTCTTCAATAATAAAAGTTTTTGTTTGGAAAACTATTTTCCTTATTAATCTGAAGACAGTAGACGACATTAAAAAAAGCAGGCACCACAGAACGTTATTTTCTTAGAAATAAATAAATGCAGTATGTATTTTCCAGACATACAGGCACACTGAGTGATTTCTAAAATTTGCAAGCTGTTGTTACAATTAAGAAATCTAGAACTTCAATTAAATTTAGCTTGTGCTACTTGTTCAGGGATAACAGAAAGCACCAAAAAAATGTTTTGTTTAAAAAAAAAAAAAAACCTGTTCAATTATATTATTTAATTTACATCCTCTGTGAGCTTGCAAGAACTGCTGCCTTGATTATATTTTCCCCTCAATCATATGACCTGTATATCCTAAAAGCAACAAACATGCATTACTTACTATAAATAAGTGTTATTATTAAGCTTTTGATTTTATTAACAGAACAAAAAGAAAATGGACTCATCAGGATGAGCTCCTCAGCTATAGAAGCTTATGATAAGCAAAGCTTTTCATTGTATTGAAAACAATTAAGGAATTAATTCAGAGGCCAGTGGTATATTTCATTTTTATCTTAGGTGTATTAGTCTAAGAACCGCTAAATCATTCATCAGAGGGGAAAGAACTTAACATTTAGCAGTTACATTACAACATTACAACAGTGACACCTGCTGGACGTTAAACCCACAGCTACACATTTCCCCACCGCAGAGTTCAGAGCAGATGTAGGCACAGAAAAGGTAATCTTTATCCTCTTTCAACGCACTCTAAGAAAGGTGCACAACTGCATACAAAAATAACAGAGCAGAAGTTAGGAAGAATGTCTGTCATTCACTAAGTTCATTTTACTACACTGCTGAGCTTCACCAAGTGAAAAATTAAAGCAAGACAGGCCCTTGTAGAGAAGTAGGCATTTGCTTTCAAAATCTTTATGACTTAGTTTTTCACAATTTGCAGCTTCAGAGTCTTGATTTTTTTTTTTCCTGTGTTTGTGGAATGGGAAAAATAGGTATTCAGGGTTTCAAAAAATACTGTTGGAGCTTTTTTCAAAAAAAAAAAATCTACTACTTCAGAAACCAGAAATTCACGTCTGAAGAGCTATTTTATAGTTCAAACAAATAAAAACATGATTTAAGAGCTCCTGAAGTTGCTAAGACAATAATCCAAAGAACAAGGTCCACAGAAATAAAGAACTGAAAGTAATTCTCAGTGAAATTGAAAACATGCTCAGAAAAAAGGTACTCTTTTAATTGCACTCAGATTCAAGAAAAGCTGTTTCTGGAGAACAAACCAATAAAGATCTGCAAAATCATAAAATCAGGCCACCTTTGGAGAGCACTGACAACACTGCAAAAATAATAGGCCAAATTCTGCCTGAAAAAGAGCTTGAAAAACACCCAACTACTGTCCTCTCCAAAGGATTCATAATCTCAAATCAATGTTCTTTTCCTACTTTGCAGGAGTAGCAGCTGGGAAAAAAAAAAATAATCACAATGCTCAGCAGAAGTAGGGTAAAGCTAGTCCTGCTAGACCCAGCCAAAAATAACTTCAACACACTCCTAACAGAGACATTTAACTTACTGAGAACATTTCTGGAGATTAAAAGCTCTCCACAAGTACATAAATATTCAAGACAAATAGTCCTAAAAGAAAGGATGAACAGTAAACAATCTTTAGCCCTGATTTACCAAGGAATTAAGGCTATATGAACATGTTATTTGTCTGCGAGAACCCTCTCCAATTCTCACAATTCTTGGATATATTTGTCCAAATTCAAGTAAATTTGGCAAAGGGTAGAAATGGCAGAGATGATTTTTTCATAGGTTATGTGAAAATCAACAGCTGAGTAGAGGAGACAGACCTGAGTTAGCATCCTAACGGGAAAAAAAAAAAAAGGTATAAATTCATTTGTTGCCTTTGAGAGGCAGCAGAAACCAGCCAACACAAACACACCCCTAATTCCCACACTTGCTCAATCAAGCAGGCTGGATACATCAGAACAAGCTTTGAGGCACTATGTACTTGGACAAGGGACAGATGCTAATGCAAGAGAGCTGAGAGTTTTGCAAGAACAAAAAATTAGAACCTGTATAATAAAACCTTCAAAATCACAGTATCCACTGTTCACAGAACAACTGGCTGAGAAATTAGAGCTTAAAAATAGCATTTCTCAAAATGCATCCAACATACTTTACCAACCGAGAGTGATCTGGGTGAGCAGAAGATATTGGCTAGATGTCACATGTGAGAAACGTGAAAGGAAATTCGAAATGGGGGGGAAGAGTGGGCTTACATTGGAAATTCAGTAGGTATTTACTCCACAGAATCTTTAACAGTAGCCAGTTTTTTTGTCATTTATTTATACTTGTAATCACATTAAATTTCCAAAAATGAAAAAAAAATACTGAAAGACTGTTATTCAGTTTTCACATCACCTCAAACAGCTAAATTGTAGTCATTACTTTTACAGGAAATGAACCATGGATTTTTCTACTGTGTTACTGATATCTATTTGAAAAAATTAACATATTGAAATAGAGTATTTTAATTGGTTCACTAATGCTTACTTATTAAGTACCAATAATCTAAATAGCATTATCTCTTGTCTTTAAGAAGAAATGCCAAAGATAAATGCCTTCTTCCACAGGCACATATCAATTGGCGATCTGATTGTTTGTAGATTTATTGCCATCTGATACTAATCTGCATTCACAAACATTTCAGTGCTTCACATAATCATGGGGTACTACACTGTAAATTTGGAATGCCCTACAGTTGCAGAATTTCATCAGTTTTCCCTCTTTTTGCCACATAAATTTGGCAGAATCTTCAAAAAAGCTTATATGGTAAGGCAAAATACATTAAGCTATCTCAAACGCCACAAAATATAAACGGCGCCATGCTTTCAGAACAAGCTCAGATTCACCATCCATAAAAACTGGACCTGAAAACTCACCCCATATACAAGCCTGATGGTGATGCCCCTAACTAGTTTATTAGCATGTGAGAGCCCAATGGACTGAACGCTTCTAGATCCTTCTCATTTCCTGACAGCACTGAAACCTACTTTTAAAAGAAAAAAGCTTACATGGAACACACTGAAAAGTATATAGTTCTGTATGTAACAAAGTACAACAGCCCGCTTGAAAATTTTTAAGTAAATAATTTCATGCTCAGGAAAACCAGTTAGACTTTTAGTTTCCTTGGAGACCTTTTTATCAGGCATTACCAGCAGCTGAGTATCAGAATAATGATTAAAAAAAAAAAAGCACATCAGAACTGTCTATAATGATAGCTACTGTCTTTCTCATGTATATATTCAATATGAATTCTAAAATAACTTAAATTAAACATCTCTTAACAGTCTAACAGATCTTTCCAAGAGACTTCCTACCACTTACATATGTCTCTACCAGAAAGTTGGGGTATTAACTTTATAAAGCTTATCACATCACTTCAAATCTGGACTCTAGACCTAGATTTGTAACTCAGTTCTTCAAAATAAAAGATGAACAAAGCTGTAAAATACAATATGAAAATATATTGGTTCATTAATGACCTAAAAGCTTTTCAACATGGTGAGGGGAAATGTAAAAGTTTTATTCATGTCACTGTAAATTCCAAAGTAAGTTCTCTGTCAACCAAGCAATTTGCATTTCCTGTTAGATAAATGTAACAGAATCCACCATAAATGGTAAGTGAAAGCAACTTCCAACTTACTGGGGTGCCACCCGTCTCCAATACCGATCAATTCCATTCTTGAAGTACAGCACAGCTAACCATCTTACATTCACATCCAGGGTATGATTTGTAAAGATATTCTATTAAAAAGAAGTTCAGAAGTTAAAAGCTACTCCATGTGCGACAGACAGAATAGAAGTTGTATAAATACATGCACTAGCATATATATGTGTACCTGCATATGTACAGGTGTATATAAAAATGCATTAGTCGGCATTTGACAAAAACATTAAACCATATGTTAAAAAAAAAAAAAAAAAAAAAAACAGAAAAATGCTTACCATTAGCTCTACTACTCAACTTATAAAAAAATAAACCCAAAATATAGGGTGAATGTATTTCTAATCTTGTTTGGCTTAAAAGGCAATAAAAGGGTACTAATTACCCTTTACTAATTACCGCACCAGACAGTTAGTACACTCTTTAATGATACAGCTGGATTCTTAGTAGAAAAAGAAATTATACTGTATTGCACAAACATTGCACAAACTCCTGAGATCTTTCAGGAGAGTTCTTCATTATCTTGTCACATGCTAAGAACCTTCCTGACTACCAACACTGACTGGAAAACAGTGATCTGGGATGACAGCACTTTTCAAACTTGCCTGTGCAGCTCCTATGAAGGCATAGCCTCTTTCTCTACACTTTATAGGGGTTAAGATGTTCCAGTAGTTCGGGGCATTTTTTCTAATTCATTTCAGCCTGATGTTAACTCCAGTATCTTCCAATCATCTTTAACTTATACAGTGTTAGAGCAAAATGTAAAAATAAAAAAAAAAAAAACCATCTAGCATAGCGTGTATTATGGTAAGTAGATAGGCTGTGTATAGGTGGTTGTTCTATGCTAGGAATAGTCAGATAGTAAAAACCTGAACATCGCTATCCTATTTACACTAAGCAGCACTGCTCATTACTATGTTTAGTTCCTGTGACTTTGACTTCCGTATGTTACTAAAGATTAAGACATACTGTAGAATCAGTTGTACAAAGAAGCATTAACTTCAAAATAGTAAGATAGCACAATGACAAAGGAATCTCAATATAATAAAATACAAAGCCTTGCATACCGCAAAAGAAAAGACAAGTTTCATAGACCAGCGATTTTCCAAATTACACACTCAGGAAAATTACTTCTTTTATTAAGGCTATTGCTCAAAAGATCTCCAGCTGAACCCAGAAGTCAAACAGAACACCTGGACATGAGACTGAGAAAAATCCAAGAAATATTCAAAATCTGTTCACACCAAATAACTGTCCCATCTAGAATTCTACATGAAGTGCTAGCTAGTCTTAAAAGAAAAACTGAAGAGATACAGAAAGACTAGAGAAGTGCAATACACAAAGAAACTTATTCCCATCCCCACAGGCAAGAGACTTAAAACAAAGCAACTGCTTATTTTGAAAATTTCTACAGCTGGAAAAATCTCTATATACCTACGTCTGTGTATATATATAAATATATACGCATACATACACACAGCTGAAAGTATATACAAATGCAGACAAACTCTATGGCAAAGGCAGGGGATAGAATTGAGTTTGTCAGCTCAAACTTTTTTTTTTTTTTTTTTTAATTTTTCCCTTCATCTCCAGACTCGCCTTCAACTTTTCCAACAGATAAGGCGGAGGGCCTACAGAGAACAGAACATGTCACTAAACACCTCCGAGTCATTCATCTGTGCACTAAAGACAGAGGTTTATAGGAGAATCAGTTTACCTGCATGTTATTTAAGACTACCCTAATATAAACACCCACGCACACAAGAAGCGGGGAATAATGACACTGCTAAATTCTGCTCGTCTTCTTTGAAACTCTTGAGCCTTTTTTAGGGGTTGTTTCCATCACATGGCACCATGCTAATGCATCCATTTCATCAGCAGAAGTAGTAATACCTTTGGAAGTATTCACTTTTTCAGGAACCTTGCTACCAACCTGGTCATCTCCCTGGGAACCTCTCTTTGCTGACAAGAAGGAAAGTAATCGCAATGGAGTATCAAACGTAATACTTTGAAAAGCGCGTGGAACTTTTCTTGTACAACAGCTATCCTAATGCATTGCCTCCACAATAAAGAATAGCTGGTCCAGACATGCAATGAGGTTTAAAGCTGCCAGGGTAAATAAAAGTGTCACAGCTATATCAGGCAGTAAAGAATTCCTTTGGGAAAGGTCATCTTGGCCTTCTGTTACCTACAATTTACAAAAGGCCACCAACAGGCTTAGCACTAGAGGCCCATCTGTTCATGCTGCTGGAAGTTGAATTTTCTCCTGTTCCTGAATGCATAGAAAGGAATCAGCTTTCGGACGTGTTGATGATGATGACGCCTCACAAAGCATGGCATAAGGATATTAGTAGCTGGACCACAACTATGCAAAGCTTACCTCAGCTAGAGGTCATGTTTCAGTGGAATTCTAGGAGGTCACATTCAGAACTATTCAGAAAATGAGTAATAGCACTTTTCTGCTGTATCTTACCAACAAGACTGAATAAAAACCTGGCTGTGTCTCCCACTGCTTCAGTTGTTCTTCAGCTGGTTTTAGCACTGCAGTATCTTGACTAGTAGCTTGGGTCAAGACTCGCAGAACAATAGTGCTAGCACTATTGAGATCCATGAAAATCTGAGAACATTTAAAAAGGGAGAAAAAACTTAATAAAGACAGCAAACATTTAAAAGTTAAATCCTGTGGAATGTTCTGATCCTATTCCTGCAAAGAATATAAAACTAAGCACACTTGATTAACTCACAGAATCAGTTCCCTTCCCCCAGGAAAATTGCAGACAGATATTTTCATTCATGTTATTTAAACACCTCATGCTAATTTTTCACTAGACTACACAACGCATATCACACCCACTCATAGACAGTATCAAGGTATAGAGCGATTAAACTATTTTGCTCTCAGAAGTTTCTCAGCAGAAAAAGCAAGCAAGAAGTCTATCATTAGACGTACAAGCACCTTTACTACATTTGAGAATTTGTTGAAAATATTTTATTTTTACACTGGTTACCTCTCCTGTGAAGCACAGCAGATTGAGCAAAACTGCAATGAATCCTAACTTCAGCTGCAGGCAGGGCAAACCATGGGATTATCTGAAAAAGGCAGATATGCAAAGTATCAATAGCTTTGTATGTTCCGAATAATTCTTCTGCAAAAGAGAAACTGATCCATTTCATCTACCTGAATATTTTCCATCCACTTAAAAGAGGCCAAATTGTAGAGTTTCAGAATTCGAGTCCTAAAAGAAGGTGAATTTTCTCAAGGTATTTGTATTCCTTCATTGTCTATTTCAGCACACAAAATGCTAACTCAGCTGAACTGAGAATGCCAACTGCCTATTTTCCAACATAAACACGTTCTTATACTCTAAAGACACAACTAAACATTGCTCTCCAGATGACACAAAACAGATATATTACATTTATGACAACCGCAGAAACAGCATCATGGCAAAGAGAAGCGTATATGTAAATAACCATGAAGTCTGAAAATGAATGAAACTGGTTTTCTGTCTATAAAAGCTTCTGTTTATGACCTACATAAACTCTGCATAATACAGATCCATGTTAAACAAAGTATTTCTACACTTCAAGTAGAGTTTTCTAAATAAACAACTAAGCACAGCTTAATTCGCTTCTATGAACAGCCTCAAGGATTTTTTTTTTGTTTAATACTAAATAACTTAGTTTGCCTTTCCAACTTTCACCTAGAAAGAAATTTGAGTTGAAAAATTTTAAGGGTGATAAGAAAGTTAAACAATTTAAACCTGATTCTGATACAAGCATAACATTTTGAATTGGGGAGGGGGTAAGGGGAACACACTGTCCTAACATCAAAACAAGCAGCAAGATGAAAGACACTACCAATAGCCCTGCACAATTAAAAGAAAAAAAAAAAGCTAGTAACTCATGATACAAAACTAGGTCTTCAATCATCCTCAACAAAAATAGATTAAATATTGACGTTTCTAAGGTTAAAAAAAGAAAAAAACTCTGTATACTCAAATTGACTAACTCCAAAATCATCTTTCTTTTTAGAGCAATAATCTAACAGATGAAGTAACTAAATTCTGTCCTAGACTTCCTGTGTGACATCTTTTATCCTTCTGCTTTAACTTTCCTGCAAAACAGATCTACCTTCCATTTCTTCTCCTGTCTTTTCTACTTGTACCAGTCATTTCAACCTTTATCAATTTGCAAATTCTCTAAAAATTTCCTAAGATTACGAAACCTTTACATAACAAATTTAAACATACAATCTCAGCTTGCTTCTGAAAAGACTAATTTCCAGGGAACCAAGACACTGCTTTAGACTGTAAAGTCAAACTGGGACTGGTTTACTCTATGGGCATACTGCCTAGCAAAAAAACAGAAAAACATCATGTTAACTTGTGATGATCATGATAGGAACTTGGTAGGGTTTTCATTTATTTCTATTCAAAAGTCAAATTATTTACTTTCCAAAATAAATGTATATTTATCTTACACTATGAAACAAGAGAAGATAAAGTATCATTCTGAAGCACCTAACCAGCAAACCTTCTTCTTCTTCTAAAAAAAAAAAAAAAAAAAAAAAAAAAAAAAAAAAAAGCTGACCATCAGTCCTAATTGCTAGATGAAACCTCAAGAACCAAGAGAGCTTCCAAAAGTCAAGCCTATACAGCATGTGTGCATGTGTCAAAAAAACCCCACCCCAAAACAACAAAAAAACTCAAATCACAGTAAGCAACTGTGGCCTTCGATAAGTTGATGATTTTAGACCTTTTGCTAAATAGTGTTCTTCAAATAACAACTTGCCACAGGAAAACTGATATATATCAACAGTGAATCAGCAACACATACCCAGATACTTGCTGAAGATCCATTCCACGGACATGCTCATTTGAGAGAAAAAATGGATTATGGAACTTTCATGTAACAACGGATTTTGCACCACAAAAAGACTATGCTTGCTAGATGAAATTATTTCTCAGCCACATTCAAAGCTAATGCTTTGAGGGGTTTTTTTTTTTTCGTATTTTTGGCAGGAGTGGAGTAGGGTCTTCCTTTTTGTGGGGAACAGTGCTGCTACTAAAGATTTATATAATTTATATACTAACCAAGAACAGTTCTCATCAGATGGCTTAAAGTCAGCACAATAAAAACACAACAAAATGAAAAACATCCTCAAGGTTTTTATTTCAAAATAACCAACCGGCAGACTTAAAGACGACAAAAGTCAAAGAGAAATATACACAAAGCATTTTTTTTAAGCTTTTCATTCTTGAGAAAGCTCATATTTTCATTAAAATACTGGGGCAGACAATGCTATAAGAACAGCCTTAGCAGGTCAGAGCAAAAGGTCATTTAACCCAGTGGCCTGCTCTTGACCCTAGGGATACCTACAGAAAATCATCAGAACCGGGCAGTCTTGTAGTGATACTTCCAAAGAATACTCTTCCACCTTTCAGAAAACTGTGGTTCAAGGACTTCCTAATAAGAAGGTAATTTAGATTTCATCTTCCATAAATTTGCATGGTTGCTTTCTGACCCCAGGTGAACAATACTCCTCACACAAGATCCGAGTGAGGCTGTCACAAACGTAATAAAGCTGAAGACAAAGAATAATTTCCCTAAAGATGGGGAAATTTTGAAGATCAAGTTTATAAATACTGTAAGATATTTAAGGAAGCAGTAGGCTCTGTATTAGTTTAATATTCAATAAAAATTAACAAGAAAAATATCAAGATACGTGTTTCAAAATAGGTCTTTGTTTCATCAGCACGAAATGTTAGCTCCATTTGTTAAAAAAAAAAAAAAAACACTCAAAGACAATACATTTTGAAAAGTCAATAGTGCTATTCCAATAAAAGAGTCAGAAACATGTTCTAGTTTTATCCAAGACCCCCCCCCTTGAAAAAAATTAGGCAGGTTTATATATAATGACTTCATTTTTTTAATTTATTTCTGTTTGGATTTCCTTTACCTCAGATATGCATTTATATTTGCATGTGGTTGACATAATCCATTAAAAAAAATAAAACTAATACTACACCCTCAAAATCTACTTATTTTGTTCAGATGCCACATATTTCCCACTTTCAGATTTTTTTTTGCAAGCTGACAGTCTCTCAATTATTATAAATTTATGATTAACATAATACGATTCAGAGGATATTAGCGAAGTAATACATAAAATAGCCATTGTCGCCAAAGAGCCCACAGTTTACCATCACATTTTCCAGGAAGGTGGGGGGAATTATGCTATGCTATATTACAAAACACTCAAACAGAATTTAATATAATTGGCTATATAGCAAGAACAGTCACAATGACTATAAATAGCATTATTATGCATAAGAAGTACACCTAGAAAAGAGTATTTTGAATTATACTATCTTATAGAAGTTGCTTCGGACAAAAAATTGCTAGAAACCATAAATGGCAATAACACGGTTGCATTACGGATGGGATATGGCAAAGTCCATAGCAAGCATATCGTAAGAATCCACACAGGACAGAACAAGACTATGTTCATTGCTTTTATGTTCAAGAGATTCCTATAAACAATTTCTGCTTTCTGATGATAGCAGTCATTATAGTCTGTTTTTTTACAATTATTTTCTAAGTTTGTTGTTATAAAAAGAAAAATATACTCATTATTCCAAATCATTCTTTATAGTGCCAAACTGCAAACTTGTATTTGCTGGTTAGGCTAACTACAAATGTGTTTTATACATATCAACATATGTGCCTGTACGCATATGTGCGTGCACGTTATATTGGTATAAAAAGGTATGGTCACTAAAATAAATAGTACCACGCTCTGCTTGTCCCCACACCTCTTCAACCCCCTGAAGCTGGAGATCAGGAGGAAATACACTGGCATTCATTCGGATCAAGCTCCCAAATCATTTCCAGACCACATTGCTACACAGGTACTTGTGCTGGGCATAAAAAGCAGGAAGCTTATGCCAGCTTAAGATAGTTATTAGAACTGCATTGTAATGAACAAGAGCTTTGACAACTATTAGGAAATCCATGACCTTTAAATGCTGTTGTTTTGGCAAGGTCCCACTTTTCTCCTAAAAGTCATTCTTAAGAGGCAAAAACAACAATTTTTTCCTCAAATCTCAAAAAATGTAAGAGCAATCAACTGCCAAATTTGGAGGCATATATAGAAAAACAAAACAACAGCATGCCTTCAATATGACTTCAACATTTCCTTCAATTAGTGAACTTTCAAGTAAAGCTAGGGTACAATCCTTTATATTAATCTTCTTTTGTTTCTTTGTCTTATCAAAACAGAATACAGACTTAGAGCAAAGTTACGTGTTACTACAGCCCCAACCTAGTAATTACCCTGAAAGGGGGACAACCTTTTTCCCTTCCGTCCACCCCCTCCAGGCCCCAACTTCTCCCTTTCCTCACCTTTTGATCTTTCCACTCCTTTCCTTGCACCAGCTCTGGTCCTCGCTAGACCACTTGCTAAGCTTAAACAATTTTCTGTTCGATTAGTGAGGTTGTTTTTGTTTGTTTTTTTTTGCAAAGTTAGCAAGTTTTGCTGTCTGAGTACATGGTCCAACAGGCACCACGCTGGCTAAGGGAGAAAGGAGGAATATAAGACTCTTAACAGCGTCAAGCCAACCGAGAGAGTCAAGTCATCACATGCAATTTCAACCCTAGGATAAAGTCTCTCCTTCTAATCCCTTCTCACAAACAGGATTACTCTTGAGAATAAACTTAATCTCTGCATATGCTTCGTAAAGATAATGAATCAATCACGACAATAGCTCACATCAAATGTGTTAATGGGATCCTCTACAACACAGTTTTCATAACTGTTATGTACCGATACTTCCACGACACCAATTCCTGCAGATAGGACCCATTAGGTTTGACACCTAATTGACAGTGAAACTTATACATATCATAAAAACATGTTTTTTCAGACAACGAAGAAAATCTGCATCACTTCCAAATATACATGAGCAGAAGTACATGAAATATACAATATACTGTCTACGGAATACTTGTAGAGCTTAACTCATAGTTCAATAAGTTCCACAAGACTTTTCCCAGTATAGCAGATGAAATAGATGAAGTGAATATCAAATTGCTCCTATCCAGAAGATATACAACACACCAAATGCCACCCCCCTCAGCACAGTGAGAAAATCTTCAGAGACCACAAACACCCATGCCTTCTCCTCATCTTTACCTGTCTCTCTTAGTGTCCTGCACTTCCATTGCCACTCAAACTCTGCCATCTCCTTTCCAAAACTTAACTCTCCTCTCTCTGTTCTACTCCTCATTCCATAATCTCCCCTTCTAAGTAAGAATCTGTAGACAGGTTTTATTTTAGAAAACAGCCTGAGTGTCTCGACTGTTCTGCCAGACTAATTGAACATTTTCTCTGAATAGCCAGCCCTTTTGATTGAGGCAAAAGCATATCCAGGCACTTTTCCCGTAACACTGAAATATATCTGAATTTTAGAGTCATGTTAGTTATGTAAACAAACCATCAAGGACTGCTACTATATCTGCAAGGAAATGAAAGTTTACTTCAGTGGAAGCCTACAAACTTCACTTTTCCTGGACTTCAAACAACACAGTGTAACAACTCATTCATATTCATGCATCTCTAAATTGCGTTATCTGTTGTTAACAATTCAGTAAATTCTTTTCCAACACAGTGAGCTGCAAGAATGGATTCACTTAAAATTCTGTTAAATTAGAACAAGATAAAGCAGTAAACATATCACCTAATTATAGTATTTGCTCACCGCTAGTAAGGCAAACGGTAGACTGGGCTAGTTTAGGACAAACACGGCATTATTGTTTACTCAGCACTAGGTGAGACTGCTTCCAGAATACCATGTCCAGTTTTGTCATCACCCCTCTCTCTTTCCTCAGTTCAAGAAGAGAGGTCAAGAACTAAGGGTCAGGGGTCTAAAGCAAATAACCTATCCTCATTTGGTGAGGAGGAGGAGGCTAAAAGATGATTTAGTAGTCACCTATAACTTTAATAGTCACCTGAATTGCACTTAGAAGCAGACTGAGCCAAATGCTTCTTGTTAATGGCAAATGATACAATAAGTGGCAAAACCCACAAACTGCAGCAAGTTGAACATTAAGAAAAAACCTTTCCGCTAGGAGAGCAGTACAGCACTGAAACAGAGAGACTGTGTAACCTGAACCCTTCGAGATTTGCAAGACTCGACTAGACAAGCTATGCCTGACCTGACCTGGTGGTGACAACAGTTTGCTTTGAACAAGAGGCTAGACTACATGTCTCTAGAGATGCTTTCTGACAAAGCTTCTGGGACTCTGCACTTCACACACTTATCACAGATAGCAGAAGGACATGGGAACAATTAAAGCAAGAATGTAGTTATTGGCATAAAGAGCACCATCTTACACAAGCTTATAGCAGAGGCAGTGAGTAAGATTCAAAGCCTACATGTTAAAAATTACAAAGAAACCCAAAAACTCTGATCTAGATCTTTCCTATTGTTTGATCTTCCTGTGACACCATTTTGCTAACAAGTGAATGGTCTGTTCAGCACCCTTTCCGTTTACTTTGGAAAAATACTTCAGCTAGAAGTATCATGGCTAAATGACTCATGTACTCTGAAGTCCTACTCCAGACACACACTAACTGCTAAACTCTCTTTGTCCAGATTAACTCAACTGAAAATGGGTAGCTGATCATTCAAGCTGGTGTCTCCAAAGAACTACACATAACAGTTGCTCCATCACACTTGAGTTTGCCCCGATTACAATATATGCCTCAATCTCACTAGCTGAAGAGTCTAGTCATACCTAGATTCCTAAATTCAAGCCAGAATTCAAAATTCTATTCTTTTTAACTGGATGACTTACTTAAGGTGGGTGTTTTAAGCATATTTGTTTTAAAGAAGACAAGAAAAACAGTTTCCATTCTAAAAAGCCACGAGAACCAGTTCTGGGTCCCCTTCTGAGCAGATGAGTGTAACACGAGTGCTAGCATTCTTTCTGATGCTCACATGACTTATTAGCATTGCTTTTAAGGATACTGCCAGTTTCAGAAACAGTTGGTAGTTATACCAGCCCCTCCATCACTCTATAAACACTCCTATGAGTTTCTTCTCTACTAGTGTATTACCTGTATCAATTAGGTCATACCTTAGCGTTTCTACTAAGCAGTAAAAACAAAAAAACTACCAGTATCCTGGCTATTCAAGATACTACCACTACCATCGTTAGCTGAGATTTTCCAGAAGAAGAGATTAATTTCTCTTACCCTTAATGAAAAAAGCTGTTTACTCTTTACCCAGTCTAAGCCATAGCAAAGAAAAAAGAAAATGTCTAAGGAAGGAAGAGTTACAGGGTTTGCGTACACATTGCTACTGACAGAAACAGACAAAGAGAACTTCTACAGTTTTTTTACTTGTGAGAAATTACAGCACTGAAACTAATAGCTAGGTCTGAAAAATCAACATAAGCAGCAGAAGACACCAGGGATAAAGGAACACAGAATAAGAAGGGAAAATTTAGGAATAAAGGAGAACAATAAGGAAAGCTGACTGTGATATTTAGAGAAGGAACTCTGATCTTGCTATAAAACATCGGGCAAAAAGAAAAGCCTCTCAGGATAAATGGAAAACACAAAACTGATCAAGAAGTCCTAACACAAACAATAGGCATTATAAAATTACAGTAGGACCACTCCTAAGGAATTTGCTTAGATACAAGCTGAGAAGAAACTCCACCATAGAGTTCAGTATTGATAATATAGAAAAAGCCAAAGGCATACACAGAGACAAGGGAAGAGTATTTTAAATGTTTGAGAGTAAGCTTATAGGATGATAAATTTCACAAGACTAATCTTATTCCTTTGACTACATTATAGTTCACTTCGTTTTAACAAACAGATTGTCAAAAACCATACAACAGAGCATTTTATAACAAATGGGTATGCAACAGCTGAAATAGAAACTTCAGTTCCCATCTGCCTTTATCCTCTGAACCAGCCTATAAGCCATTTCAGTACACAGTTAAAACCAACTTCTGATGATACAGTTTTAAAGTGTATGATACGTATATAAGGTTTGGGTAACAGAAACTTTTCTTATTTCATGCAAATGGTATGAAATGCATTTCTACATAACGGTACAATGGAAGAACGAGAGGAAAAACACAGAGAGTGATGAAGATGATTAGCCTTTAAGTTTCAAGAAGTCAAAACTCATAAGGAATGTGCTACTTATAAAGACTGACGTACTCTTACATGTTAAGAACGCCAATTTGAAAGCCATGCCAAAGGCACTGCAGACTTCATCTGAGCTATTAAGATAATGGAAGCAAGGTACGTCGTAGTAGCATATAACGGAAGCCATGTCTGTACTGTACACAGGGCCATGTTCGTACATAACATACACGTTACTGTTTTCTAAGATAACACAAAATGGAGAAATAACTCACTGCTACTGCACTGAACCTGCCTTTGATTTTGGGAAGAAGTTGCTTTCCAGTAAGACTTCAAGACCTTGTTCTTCAAAACCCTGCAGGAAGAAAATAATCACCTTTAATGAAAGACCACTGCTTGCTTTTTTTTTATTTCTGCAAAACATAAGTTCTATCAACAAACTGTGCAGCTTAATGCCTCACTTCTTCTGATGCCTTCCCACCAATCTTATCCAGATCAAAAATTGTTTCGGTGAGAAACAAGAGAATAGCTCCATGGAATTGGGTAGCGACTCTTCTTCTGCAGTCAAAGAAAATATCTTGACATTACTGAACCACGTTATATAAAACATAACGCTGAGTTCTCTTATCCTTGGTGGCCTACAGAAGTCAGCACAGGAAAAAAATACACGTGAACAGAAGAGGAGTGTTGTACCAATGATAAACGGCACCTGATAACTCAAATAAAAACGCAAATGATCAGGCAGGAGCAGAAACAAATAGACAAAAAGATACCAGGAAGCGCATCGCACAGCGCAGTTCAACTGCCCAGTTTCTTCTTCCCTGACACGGAAAACCTGAGCAGCTCCTTCCTCCGGCCGACTTCCTACCCTGAGCTGCAATCGCTTTTTCCCTTTCACTCGCCGCCCTCCACAGGCCGGCGCC